CAACAACAAATTCATATACCAAACAAAATATGTGCCATGGCACTGATTTGTTGACTCCAAAGGTTCCATGTACGATTGGCTCATAAACTTCAGGAAAGCATAGTTTTCTAGAAGACCTGTCAATTAAAATTGGTTCAGAAATTGTTGCCCAAATTACAAGAATTTGTATAACTTACCAAATGATTAAAATGGCTATATTAATCATTTTATTATTAATAACTCAAGACTGCTTCTCGTTTAGTAGGAATGTGGACCGATCAACAACAAGCCTCTTCACAACAATCTTATACTCATTATCGGCATTTGTCGCCTAATGCCAATCAATACTCCCAAACTTCGACAATGGCTGGATCAAATTCAACCCAAGTTATCAATACAGTGGATGCTTTTGCTAATAGGAAATCTTCGGCTACAACTCCGATCACGTCACCAATAAAAAATCCTCTAGATCTCGCATCTGAAAAATCACCATATCCTTATGCAACTTTGATTACTTATGCAATTGCAAATTCTCCTAATAAACAACTCACATTAAATGAAATTTACAATTGGATTATAGAGAATTATCCTTACTATAAGACCACCGGTGCTGGCTGGAAAGTATGCATTTTTTATTAAATTTGATGTAACTTTATATATTATTCTATTTGTTACGAATACTAAGAAATAAAATTTTAAAATTTTATAGAATTCAATTAGACATAATTTGTCTTTAAATAAAAGATTTGTCTGTGTTTCACATCATGATCGAGGTAGAGGGGCATACTGAACTTTAGACTTCAGTGCTGTTGAAACTGAACCATGTAACAAAAGATCTTCGAGTGTTTGTCGCAGTATGCCATACCGACCACCTCCTCGTTATACTTACACAACTATGGAACAACATTACCTTCTAGCACAAAGGCTTGGAGGTAATGCAAGCATCCAACAACAAATAATGTCTTATACTGATGCTAGTATTAGTAATATTGCCGCTTATGATACTAATAGCCACGCTCATGTGGACAGGCATGATGCTACCGCTTTTAGCAGATATAGTATGCATCAAATTTATTGTCCACAGACATCTAACAGATACTAACACACAGCAGCTGGATTAGTTAAACAATTAAGGATTAAATAATTATGAAGAATTTATAACTAATAAAACAAACTAAAAGCGTTGTTTTTTCTTTTACTCAGTG